ATCATCATCAGCAGCATCATCATCAAGATCATCATCATCAACATCAGCATCAGCAGCATCATAATAATCACCACCACCACCATCATCATCCTCATCATCAGCATCATCATCATCAGCAGCAGCAGCAGCATCAGCATCAGCATCTTCATCAGCAGCACCATCATCATCATCATCATCATCATCATCATCATCATCATCATCATCATCATCATCATCATCATCATCATCATCATCATCATCATCATCATCATCATCGTGCTTCTCCTCCTCCTGCTTCCCCTCCTCCCTGACGCCTGTTGGCTTTCGGGTCAGGAATCAGGCCCCCGGCGGCCGTTCGGGACGATCCAGGCCCCTTGGACAGCCCTCGACGAGGCGCAGCTGCTGGAGAGCATCCCGTTGCGAGAGAAAGCCTACAAGAGCCAACGAAAGCTTCCTCCCCCCCCTCCACCCCTCCCTGCGCTGGCAAGCCCTGCCCTGCCTCCGCCGCAGCCGGAGCTCCCTCTCCGTCGGCCGCAGCGGCGCTCTCCATGGCGCTGACTGGGTCGGCTGCACGCAGGGGCGACCCTGAGGCAGGAGTGACACTCCGTGCGCGGCTTCAGGGGGCCGCCTGGGGGCCAAGTCCAGGCGCACCAGCCATAGGGGGCCACATGCGAACCCTCCCCCTACCCCCCACGATTTTCTGAGGGAGGGTGGGGTTCACTTCGTTCGGGAGCTCCCGAGCGAAGTGAACCCCACCCTCCCCCTCAGAAATCGTGGGGGGTAGGGGAAGGGTTCGCATGTGGCCCCCTAAGCCAGGCGCTGGGGTGGGAACACTGTGGGCTCGCGCCAAAAGTCACTCCGGCGAAGGGTCGGTCCTGCGCGTGACCGGCCGGGGGGTGCCCTGGCCACGCCCCCCCGCCGCGGCCGGCCCTCGCCCGAGCCTCGCTCGAGCCAGGCGCGGGGCAGCGGCGGCGCCTCGCCCATCGCGGCTCGCCCCTCCGCGTGCTGCCATCGCGCGTCCGCCAAAGCTCAAGCGGCGGGAAAAGACGCGGGCGCTGCGCGAGAAGGCGCTGCGACCTCACGCCGCGGCTCACGCGGGCCGCCAGCGCGGCGCACCGCGATGAGACGAGGGTGAGCACTTCGAGTGGGTTCCGAACCCCGAAGTCCATCATGTATACCAAGCCCAGAAGCCACCCTCTCATCGCTGGGTGCAGGTGTAGTCCATCCTGCCCTCCATCATCCGAAGCCACACCAGAAAAAGCCATCGGGGATGAGTGCTTTCTGGCGTTCCTTGGTCCATCATGGTGCCAGAAGCCTGCCCAGCCCGTGGCGGCCAGGCGGCCGCCCCAGGGGCGCCGACCCAAGAGCTGCCCGCAGGCCCAAACCGGGCAACAAAGCAGATGCTGGCGTGTTGAACGTGATGGTTCGTGCTGTTCGGAGGTCACAGAAGCAGGTCGCCATCTCAGAAGTGGATATCGGGCGTCTCGGAGGAGCCAGGGAACCCGCTGGCTTTGCACCGCCGCCCGATCATCATACAGTGCAGTTCTCGTGCCATCTACACACCATGAAACATACTTTCCAAATTAAGCTCCTACCTGTATTCCGAATGTTTCGAACTGTTTTGCACTGCGGGTAGCACCGGGACGCCACGGGCAAGATGTTGTTCCAACGAATGCCCACAGCATCGACCAGTAAGAACTTTGGAGTTCTGAGTGCACTGTGACGTGGGCCAACTGGGACCAAGAGACCCCGCGGGCGACGCCCAGAGATCTCAACAGCCAAGGCCAACAAGGCCCATGACGCTGCGGCCAGTGACCTCCAACCGCAACAATCAGGGCCAGCGGGACCCAAGACCATATGGCCGTCGACAGGGAACACAGCAATGGCCAGGGCCAGCGAGTCCGAACGGCCAGCGACCAGAGCATCGCAGCAGCCGGGGTCGGCGGGACCGAGGGCCGTAACAACCAGGCCCAGCGGGACCCTGTGCACTGTGGTCGACAGCCAGACATCGCAACCAAAGCCTGCGGTACCCGGGATCAGCTGGACCCGTGACCCTGTAAGCGTCAGCCCAGCATTGCGAAAACAAATACCAACCCGTCCCAAGACGAGGAGGAGGAGGAGGAGGAGGAGGAGGAGGAGGAGAGGGAGGAGGAGAGGGAGGAGGAGGAAAGGGAGGAGGAGGAAAGGGAGGAGGAGGAAATGAAGCACTGAGAACCCCCGAGTGCAACCACTGTTTGGGGAATGCGTGGCCCTCCCCTGCTCGACAAGCTGCCAACCAAGAACAGTGCCCACACACAGACTCTCACTTCCACACACACACACACACTCAACACACACACACACACTCACTCTCACACACACACACACACACCATCCGTGCCAAAATATCGAGGCGCATAATGCGGTAAACGCTTGTTCATGTGTGGGCACCCTATGAGAATGTGGCTTTGGCCTTGGTCAGGGGCGGTGGAGAGGGAGCATGTTGTCCAACGTGCGGTGGGCCCGCCATCCTTGTTCAAACTTGTATGGTGCAGGCATCATGCGCGAGGCGAACCACTCCGTCGTCTCTGTGCAATGGTTTTGGCAGGTCTGGTGGAGGTGTCGAGATATTGCCAGATCTGTGCTGTCATGGGCATTGGCACATCTGGCGCACTCCGCGCGCTCGTGCACCTGGAGCACGTGGCGCACACAGCGCGCCTGGAGAACTTGCACACTTGGCGCACGTGGCGCATCTAGCGCACCAGGCGCGCTTGGGCCCCTGGGGAACCTGGCGTGCCTAGTGCGAGCAACTCACCTGGCACGAGGGGAGCACCTCGCAGGAAAGGCGCACCTTTCGTCGGCTGTGGTTGCTCTTGCTGTCCGTGGAACGGCAAACACCACCTGTGCCGAGTCTCGAGTGCTACCTATGTTGTGGGATGGCGGGGGGAAGTGAGTGAGAGAAAGCTTGCGGCGTTCCTCTTAGGAGCTTTTGACACCTCCCTCTCCCTGGGGGTCTGAACACCCCATCCACTCCCGCGAGCGGTCAGAACGTCCGGTGTTGTGATAGACGGCGTCAGGAAGGCGCAACGTAACCCGAGTTCGCAAGATGGCGTCCGGCATGTTTGTAAGAGGCTCCAAAAATGTTCCTATGATGGCGCGAGTTGGCCAGAGGCACCCCTCGCATGCAGCATCGCGTGCGTGGTTACGTAAGCAAAGTCGCCTGAGAACCATGTGGCAGCTTGAGAATTACAGAGCAGACAGCTTCAGAACAGGTTCGGCATCAAGGCGACGGACATGCGCTCTATGCTCGGAATAGCCGCTTCAGAACGGGCTCGGCGCCCAGACGACAGATCTTCGCTCGAGGCCCGGAGCAGCCGCAGGAAAACTGCAACGACGCGTGCAGGAGATCCAGCAAGGCCCTCCAGAGAGGTCGCACGCACCACCGAAGCTCGCAAGCACGAGCGCATCCACCAAACGCCGTCGCACGGCTCTCCCCCACGCCCTCGCCCCCGCGTCTAGCATCTCCCAGCGCCCGCCAGTGCTTACCCCTCCTCTCCCCTCGCCCCGCCGAGCCCCCGAACATGACTCGGCGCCATGCCTCCCTGACCCATTCTTGGGGGGCGGAAAGATACGGATACGTGTTGTCCCCGGACCTCTCTTGGGGTGCGTTCTGACCAGAATTTCGAGGCGAATCCAGCGGTGACAACGAGGATTCCCCAGGAGGACCAGGAAAGGCCGAAAACGAAGGGGGACAACACGTATCCGTATCTTTTTCTCCCCCGACATTCACTCCTCGGCCTGTGCCTTCCTCCCCCTCCGGCCTAAGGCGCCCCCGCCCCCGCGTCTGGCAACCACCAGGCGCCCGCCAGTGCTGACCCTGGGGAGCAGGAAGCGCCCACGCGCCGCTGCTCCCCAGGCCTCGCCCGGGGCGCGGTCTGACTTGTGACCAGGACCTCGAGGCGAACCCAGGAGTGGCGACGAGAGCCGCCCACGGAAGCCCCCAAAAAGGGAAAAACGGGGCAAAGGTGGCGGGCAGAGGGTACCTTTTTTTCGGGCGTTGGCAGAACCGGGTTTAGTGGGACCTGGTTGAGTGATGTGCACTGAAGGACGCCCCCCGCCGCCCCGTTCCACGAACCGGAACTGCCGTAGCCCGAAAAAACACCAGCTGCGGCAAACCTGGTTTAGTGATTCTGGCCAATCCAGGGGCTCCGGGGGCCGTACAACTAACCGGGTCCCCTTACCTGGGGTCATGGCCGTACCCGACTTTTCCTCCTTTGATTTGGACGCCCGAAATGGGTAATGGGTACGGAAAGAATGGGTACAATGCCCAACAACACATGTTGTCCCACACTAACAGCGGCCGCTGTTGGGCAGGCGGCCTTCTGTCTCGAATGGACACGGGCCGCGGCGGCGCGGACAGCGAGTCCTGTTCAAAATGAACAGGGACTGCTGTTGGGCACGGCACCCAGTCTTTCCGCACCTATTTCGGGCGTCCGGATCCAAAGGACCCCCTCCTCTCCCATCGCCCCGCCGTGCCACGCAGCATGCCTCAGCGCCAGTCTAAAACGACGCGAAGATCGGGACAACATCGGATCGGGATAACTCGAAATCTCTGAGAATCGGCAGGTTTGGGGGGTGTATTGGGCGCCGCGGCCGCTCTCAGAGCGTTCCGGAACGCTCTGAGAGCGCTCCGGAACGCTCTGGCGCGATTTATCCCGATCCTAGCCCTGTTTTGCAGTCCTCCCTGACCCACGCTCCCCGGCCTGCGCCTGCCTCCCCCCCTTTCCGGCTGAGGGCCGCCGCCGACGCCCATGCCTCTCGAGGGCCTGATCTTGACCTGTGCGCGCGCGCGGGGCGGGGGCGAGGCAGATCGGCGGCGAGCGAGGAGGGGAACTGAGAAGGAGAAGGCCTGCTCAGAAGGCGGCGGGACTTCTCAGAGGCCCTCGCGACGTCCGAGAAGTTGGCGTTGTCTTCGGGGGAAAGGCTTCGGGCCTTCAAAGACTTCCCAGAGGGCCGGGGGACTTTCGTGAACTTCTGAGAGGGACTTCCTCCTTCTCACTTCCCCCCCTCTGTCCCCCCCTCGCTCGCCGCCGAGCAGAGATCGATCAGACCCTGCTGGACAAGTCTCCAAGCGCGCGCCGAAATGAGACAGGCGCCAGCGGTCGACAGCATCGGTTGGGGAGGGCAGCAAGTCAAGAAAAAGAAAATAAAAAAAAAATAAATATAAAAAAAAGAAAAAGAAAAAAAAAAAGATGAAAAGAAAAATATCAAAAATAAAAAAAAAAAAAAAAAATTAAATAAGCAAAAAAAAAGATCTCAATACAAACCCAACTCCCCCCGCCCCTCTGCCCCTTCACCCCAACCACCCCCCCAACTACTTTCCTCCCTCCCCCCAACCCCCCCTCCCGCCCCCCGCCCACCACCCCGCCTCAACCCCCCCCCAACCACTCCCCCACCCCCAACCCCCCCCCCCCCCCCTCCACCCCTCCCCCCCACCTCCCCCTCCCATCCCCCCAACCACAACCCCCCCAAACCAACCCATCGTGGTTGCAGCTCTGGGCCGAAGCCGTC